GACAGGCGCACGCCCGGGACAAAAGGCCGCTTCCATAATATGCGTTCCAAAAAAATATCGTTTTGGTGACTTTGATGCGGTCCCTCATCGATGTCCAGCCGGCGGACAGTTGACAGGCAGACAATGGGATTTTGACTTGGCGCTACCAGCGGCAGCAGCAAAAAGCGCAGAGCCGATCTGAGGCAATCTGCAATCGGCCAATCCCTATCCCAATCCCTACCAGCCAACCAACAAATTGCGGCCAATGAACTTGGCCCAGAGAGTTGTCGCGCCAACCTGCTGGCATGCTTTCCACAGGCCAATTTTGGTCATTTCGATCTGGCCGAGAGTCGGGGCTCTTTTGGCGTGGGTGGCGCTGGTGGCGGTGGTCAGAAGGCCAAAAAAGGCCACGAGAGTGAAAAGTGAGCTAATGTCCAGAAGTGATCTCATTTGCTGGCCAGCCTAATTGCGTGGGCCGCACCATCGATGGATTCGCAGCTTTCGCTTCTGACTTCTGGCTTCTGGCTACTGGCTTCTGCATAATGCACAGCCATCGAACAAGCCATCGACAAGTTCCCAACAATTGGCCATGGCTAAAAGGGCACCGGGCGCAAAATGCCGCCAAAAGGTGTTAAATTGAAATCACGAGGCCTGGGATTGGGATTGGGGATTGGGCTTGGGAATTGTTTGTTTCGGGGCTAGCTTGCAGCACGGAAGCTTAGGCCGCAGCCTCGTCGGCAGATTGTGCCCAGATAAGCCGCAGAAAGCCGGGCCAAGAGGCTCCACGTCGGCTCGCCTTTTGGCCACATGCAACAGGCTGTGGCCTCAGCCACATACGAGGGAAACGGCAACAATCGGCTTCTAACAAATGACTCTCCATCTGGACGGAGCAGTCGCGGTCTCTGGGGCTGCCTTCTTGTCCTGTCAACGCGCTGGTACCCCAATCCTCGCCCGAATCCGAGTCGTGTCCTTTTGTCTTTGTTCGAAATTCAAATTGACATGAATTGTTGGCCTGCTCGCGGTGCCCAAGTAGTCTTCCTAGCCACACAATCGACACCTACTCAGAACCAGACGCAGACGCAGACTCAGACTCAGAATCAGAATCCGATTTTGAATCGGAATCAGAACGAGAATAATCGGAATCCGATTCAGATTCCGCATTCGGACCGTGTCAATTGTTTGCATTTACACATGTTACACATAAAATTGGCAGCCAATCGATGTCTGGCAGGGTGGGGGTAGCCCAATCCAATCCGATCCGATCCGATCCTATCCGATGCGAAGCGATCCCCGGCATCCAATAGCGATACCCAATACCCAATACCCAATCCCCATCGCAATCCAGGCAACAATGTGTACAACAATTTCATTAATATTAATAAATGTTCTCGGAGCGTTTGCTTCTCGGTCGGCCAGTTATTTATGCGCTGTGTTTTTCGACTCACGGCAGCAAAAGTGGCGGAAAAGCAGCGAAACTGTTTCCAGCCAGACCGACTCGACTTTATCGCTTTTATAGTAATTACGAGCTGTTGATAGGCAGCTTAGGCTACCGTCTAATGTGCAGAACACGGTCTGTGGCCCGGGGTGCTATCCACATCCACCATGGAGCTCCATCGCGATGCTTGCGTGACTTTCGGGTCTTTTGCGTGGGCGTGCTGGGAGAAAAGTAGGGAAATAAGGGCCTGACTTGTCGATTTCTCTGGCATGGAAGTTCGAAATGGGCTGGCCGTGATCTGCTTGGTGTTATTGAAGATTAAAGATGTTTTACAAAACGTTCATGATGGCTTATGTGACACCATACAGTAATAGGGGTAACTAGGTAGTTGAGCGTGCAACATATTGTTTTAAGTACAAATACAGATAACACCTAGGATGTTTGTGATAATGATTGCTAGCAAATGGGCCTAACAAGTGTCATTTTCATTGGCCGTATTTTTGGTCAGAAGTGAGACCTTTCGATTGCCTAATAGTCACATATTGTGGTACGGAATACCAAAGTTCGCTTTTAGTTTAAGTGGCTAACTTAATCTTTACAACTCACGCTGCCATCTCTGGTAATTTAAAGTCCGGCACATTCGGGATCCCGCTTAACGCGCCTTATCGCTGCAACATAATCGCATAGTTTGGTGGGGAAATTTATGTGCCGCTCGGGCAACAGGCACACACGCTTCTCCAGTCCGCAGATACGCGATACAGACTCAGATAGCATCGAGTACTTACCACGATCCTCTGCTCTCCCTCCACTTTCAGGCCTACGAGCTGTCCACGCTGACCGGGACGCAGGTGATGCTGCTGGTGGCCAGCGAGACGGGCCACGTGTACACATTTGCCACGCGCAAGCTGCAGCCGATGATCACCTCGGAGGCGGGCAAGCAGCTCATCCAGACCTGCCTCAACTCGCCGGATCCGCCCAGCGTGGGCGGCGGCGACCAGCGGATGTCGGCCACCGGGTTCGAGGAGACGGAGCTCAGCTACAACATCGCCGACGAGGACTCGAAAGTAAGACAATTGATATACGGTCACCACGGGCACGCTCATCTAGGTCACCCGCCGGCGCCGCCCTCGCACTACAGCCTCGAGCAGAGCCTGATGCAGTCGGGCTACAGCGGCGGCCAGGCCTCGCCGCTTTCCCACGCCCAGTACGGCGGACACGGGCACCACGCCCACGTGCCGCACGTGCCGCCGCCGCACTCGACGCACTCGCACATGTCCCACACGCATGCGCAGCGCTAGGCTTCTGGCTAGGATTCCTAGGCAATATCTGGGGCTTGGTTTGTGCGCTGCGAGCGGAGGGGGAGGTGATCCTCTCCAGGCCACAGCTTTCTTTATCAGTTCCTCTAAGATTGGCTTCTGGGATGCTGTGGTCCACTGGGCTTTGTATTCTGGCTCTTACTTTCCAAACGCATAGAACGGCGATTGTAGAGTAACTGCCAGCTTGCGAAGTTCCATTAGAACACTCCGAAGTGATTGAACCTTTTGAAGTTCAGCATTCCTCGCCTCTCCTCCACGTTTTTCCGCACAAAAACCAAGCCCGTTTAGTTAGACAGCAGTTCATATGTTTAGCAGATCCAAAGTGCAGCAAATGGCTTGATCGAACTTCGATACTTCGTATTTCGGATCCATGGCCAATACGATCTCGCCGCTCGTTTTGTTCTTGTTTACCGCAGATAGCAGTGTTTTGTGTTTATTAATGTGTATTTACATTTTTTGTATACTAGTCAAGACTCTACTTAAAGGCGACTGTGCCATAGCAAGCTACAGCCCCTCCCAGTACATCGTACACCCCATAGCAATAGACCCAGTGCCCAGCTGCAGCTTCCAATCCAGTGCCATTCTTCCGAACCACTAGACCACTAGACCACTAGAGACACATCGAGACACAGCCGAGACTGCTTAGTTAGTCCTTAAAGTTAAGCCATAAGTGCAATACCACACAACTTAGCAGAAGCAGGATACTTTCCGCAAGGATTTGCTGTACAGAGTCTAGAGCGTAAACAGCTACTGTGCGTTTACGAAACTTAAACTTAGTTAAAACAAGTTGGTAGCAAATAGTATAGGGCAATGTCGAAGGCGCCGGCGGCCGTTTTCCTGAGTGTGAGTGAGTGTGAATGCGAGTGTGATGAGCGTGCTCCGTAAAGTTAAGCGTACTTTCCAGATTCGTTAGCCTAATGCTAGTTGTATTACCGCGCTATAGTTATGTTTATCTGATCGATCCGATTGGCTTTTATTGACCCCTACTAACTGGAGTTTTGCATGAAGAAGCGCGCAGAAAGAACTTCAAGTTGCAAGTTGCTGCGTGCAACATGGCCACTTCCTACTCACATTTGAGCTGTTTGCTTTTCGCCTTTCTACTAATATTTATTGTACCTATACTTAAACCTAAATACCAAATTAAAACAGCTCAAAGCAAGTTCTCTCGCATCCATTTAATTTTATTTTTAACTTAATGTTTACTTCGTTAGAGAAAATACTCAACAAGACGTAATTTAGAAAACGAAACACGCGTATCTGTCAAACAGAAAGCCGAGTAATTTCTTAAATACTAGTTAAATTTATTATTTAAATGATCGTGCAATGCGCCGAGCAAAGCAAGCGACGTAAATCCAATAACCCTAAAGCAATTTACCCAGTAAGCCATCAACATATGTTTAAAACACCACAAAATAGTATCTACATACCAGAAACATAAATATATATATTATTTAGCGCAATATTACGAAATAATAAACATAAAACGAACAAAACCGGAGAACCCAAACATATTTCCAGCTGTTTCAAGAGCAAGGTTAAGAGCACCGCGATAAGACCGAACCCAGCTCCCAGTTTCCAGTTGCTAGCCTACCCACAACCCACAACCCACATCTCATCGAGCATCTAGCAATAATCCAATCCCACTGGCGAGTGGGTCGGCTCTCCATGAATGAATTTCTGATCTCGATACGTTCGTTTCCATACGTGTTTTACTTCGATGTTGCAAAGAGCTTCCGCTTTGTAGCTGTAGCTTCCACTAGAGACTCCAATAAAAGAGTTTTGGCTGCGGGGGCTCCGGCTCTGTGACGTCATGACAACCATGCTGGCGACGAGTTCATAAATCGATCAGAGCCACCACTGGCTCGTCATGCACCACCGGCCCAGTCAGTCGGTCCCCTCGCTTTCCTCCCGGCTTGGCATGCAAATCGCGTTTCTGGCTCGTACTTTTCAATGCCAAAAGCTTGGCGTAGGCCCCACTGGCCTCTTGGCTGCCCCGATGACGTGTGCCACGATCCAAGCCCCAGCCCCTCGATTCCCCCTTCCAGTCCAGTCCAATCCAATCCAACCCAGCTCAACTCGACTCAACTGAACTCGGCTTGGCTCGGCTCGGCTCAGTTTTTCCATTCAGCATGGGTCGATGAATGAAAGCCAAATGTTGTGGGTGTGACACCAACGCCGGCTCAGGTCATCAGTTGTTGCTCTACACACAAAGAAATGCTGGCGTTTCCACCGAAAGTGAAGGGAAATCGTTCAACTAAGCCCTTTTCATTTTAATGGCTCGTCTGAGCGTGGTCCATGTCCAAGAAGTGCCCCATAAGTCCAGCATTCAAGATACAATCTCCTCCAATTGAATGCCTGAAGTATCGCTGGGCTGGCCCCGAATTCTTACCGTGTAGCCGTTGGTAGCTGGCTGCCAGCTGACTGATAAAACAAAATCCATAACTCGTACCGCTGCTGCTGTAGGTCGTTCTGCCGCCGCCAACTCTTTGTCCAGCCAAGGTTAATTGCCAACTTGCAGTGGGCTGCTCGCTGTTTGCCAGCATTTGCTGGCTCACTAGATAGATACGTGTTCATGTAGCTGTGTGTATCTGTGTGTAGCTGGCTCCGATCGAGAGTGCGATCCATCAGTCTGCGCGGGTGTCTTGGCTACACGGATCGCCTTCTATGGTCGCTCACCTGCGCATCATCATCCCAGCCGCCCACGAAGCCCGAGCAGTAAGAAATGCGAGTTTGTTGGCTTTTACGATTCGTGTTTATTTCAAAATTTGATTCAAGATACATTACTTCAGTCTTGCGCATCAGCTTTATTGTGTATTTGCTTAAACTCCGAATGAAATGGTTCTTTCCCTCACGATAGCCAGCCGCTTACTACTGTACTAAGTACCTCTTGTGATCCTTTCTGCTCGAACCTAGTGCTGTGAACCTTACCCCCAATTCCTCATCATTACGTTCTCCACCAAATTAGCTGGCATGGAAAACCCGAGGAATGAAACAAAGACCGAACCTCTGGCCCTGGCCTCCTCCTCGGCAGTGGGAGCACGGGTGCATATCAGTTTGAGAAATTAAAAGCATTTTGCGGTTTCGCTGACTATCGAAGCTGCGTGCCGCTCGAGCCTCTAACGACATTTCAATGATTTGCTGCTTGCAGTTGCGGTTGCTGCTGTTGCGGCTGCTGCGGCTGCTGCTGCTGCGCCTGCAACATGGCCACGTGCGCAGCACAAGACGCAGGCGGCGGAGGACACAAGCATTTGCAATGCTCGTCGATTACGTACGAGGGCGACCTCTGTCAGGCAGCGTCCAGCTGTCCAAAAGCCACCAACAACGCAGCCACGCAAGGAATCTCCTCCGCGGATTTTGTGTTTAAGCCGCCGCTGCGAGTTCTAACCGCATGCCGCCACAATGTCCTCTTAATTTCCTAGCCCGCGCTCACCACGCGATGATATCGCCGGCGATCCTCTGGAAGCCCCTGCAGGCCGAGGCACCCCATCCCCATCCACATCCACATCCCCAATCCGAATCCCATCCAGACGTCGTCCTCTGTCTGTGCGCTCGTTTTTTAATTCAACTGATTGTACTGCGGCTTCTGGAATTCGGCATTTCTTAAAGCCTTTGCGCACACACATTGTGAGTCGGCAACTTCTGGCGACTTGGACGCTGGGTACTTGGTACTTGGTACTTGGCCACTTGGCCATCGACAACCTCCAACTCCTGGTGCCTCTGCTCCTGCTGCTGCTCCTGCGCCGCCGCCTTCGCAATCTGAAAAGGTTAAGAAATGACAATTTGTGAGCGTTTTTTCTTTTCTTTCGTTTCGTTTCGTTTTGTATTTCTTTGTATTGTTTTGGTTTTGTCGTTTCTTCGTTTCTTCGTTTTTGCCAGTTGGCCAGTTGGCTGTCTTGCTTTTGGCCCTGTTGCTTTCATTGTGATTATTTAAAAGCCAGACTGAGACCTTAACGAGGCGCTTTTGGCCTTTCAGCAGGACTCACATTTAGTTAAGCAATTATTGGGCCGCAATGCAAACAAATAATGCGTACATTGTGTGCCTCAGAGTCTATCTGCCCCGATGGCTTCCCTCCGAATGCCCTGCCCGCCAACCCGACCCGACTTACTCCACTGATTTTCCAAGTTAATCAAAATTCTTGGCTATCCACGTCGAAATCTCTGCGACCTTCCCCGCCCGCCCTACCCCCTCTTCCGTGACTCTTCTAGCGCCGCCGGGCCACGCCCATGCAACGCCCCTTCAGTGGAGCGTGGCGGAGGCAGCGATTTGGAGGAACTTATGGCTTTCCGCCGTACCGCTCCCGCCTGAATACTTATATAGGCACAGGCAGCTCCGCTTCACTGACCAATTTATGGCTGGGAATATGTCTTTCTACAAGTCTGGTTGCCACATAGTGTGGATTTTTCAGCGGAGATGCTTGCCTAATTGTGCCAGGAAATGTTGGGATTGAATGGCTACAAGTTACCAGGGAGAAATTGCATTGGAAATACCCAGCTTTGATTTGAATCATCCACAGGGAATACAGGCAATGTCCATCTCCCTAACGTCTTTAATTCCTTGTAAACTTGCATTGCTTCTGTCGCCAGACATAAATGTAAATTTATAGCAGCTATTTTTCTCAAAATATTGTTAGTCGCTTAGAAAAAGTTGTGAATTACTAAGACCTCCGCGTCTGGTTGTTTGCTTAATTAATGGCTTTCAATGATCTTCCAAATAACAAGCTGGCCAATAAAGTGTTGACAAATATTTTTGAAACTTTTCACGCTGACTGGAAACTTTGCGGCATCCAGCTTCCATCTACAAATTTGTAGCAAGTTCGAACAGAACTCCGGGCAAACTGTACTTTAAAAGAAGAAAACATGTGTGTTAGCCAAAGTTTGTAGGCAAAACTTTGAGCTGGCGTTTGTTTTGCTGGCGATGGCGACTGTGCCCATCTTCCATCTCCCATCTCCCGAAACCGAATCCGAATCCGATTCCAATTCCGATTCCGATTCATTATATAATGAAGCACACGCGGACTTCCCACATGAAACGGGGCAAGAGCCGACTCTACCCACAGTCCGCACGGCTAACAAAAGTTAACAACAATCGATGTTCGGCTGGCTCAGCTCATTTCCTGCCCACAATAAAATGTTGAAATCTGTGAGATACACTCGTATGTGAATAGTAATTCGCATATAACATTCTCTAAACCTAGGCTTGTTGGCCCAGAACCTAATGCCACGTTCCCTCTTGGCGCTAATGAAAGTGCCATAAATTTTCAATTAATCCCGGCCAAACCCTCTGATTGCAACGATTAAGTTATCCAGCGCGGCTCACTTCGCAGCTCAGCTGCAATTATTTGCGAATTAACATTTATAACACTTGATCCTGTGCGTATCCGTTGAAAGCTGGGCTGACTTGACGCTTCAGCGCATTTAAAAAGTATTTTTGTGCCACTGCCACAACGACAGCAGCAGCACCAACAAAGTGGCAGAGTGCAGCGGCAAGAAATATTTGCCGCATTTTAAGAGTCTCGGTCCGTCCGTCCGTCCGTTTGTTGTATGTCTGTTATGCGGATTCATTGCAACCGCAGCCACTTGTTGCGAGCTGCTGCAGCTCCTGCTGTTGCTGCTGCTGCTGCTGTTGCTGCTGTTGCTGCTGCTGCTGCTGCGGCTGCTGTTGTGCTAAATTTCACACCGACAATGAGCGCGAGCCAACAATGAATGAAAATTACTGGGCCGAACTAAACTGAACCGAAGTGACGGACTGAGATGGCCAAACGACCGCAGGCTAAATCGATACCTTAATTCAAAGGCACGCCAGACCGCATTTTTGGATAATATACTCCAGCTCCATCCGCTCCAGTGAGCCGATGTGCTGATGTGCCGATGTGCCGCTGCAACTTCTGCGCTGGTGGCACGCGTGAGATTTCCTGTCCGCAGTTTTGGGACATTTCATATCGGATTGCAGCCAAATTTGGCGTCCTTTGTGGCACGCGGGGTTAAAGATATATGTACACGTATAAACATCGGCAACATTCGGCGGACTTATCGGCCTGGGAATTGTGGCAATGGAAGCGGCGATGGCTCATTGTTCTGGCCGTGTGTTGCCAGCGTTTCCAGTGGTTCCATTGGTTCCAGCGTTGTGCAACGACTTTAAAAAGCTGTTAACATGCGTTGTCATCGCTGCCATATGTTGCACGACAGGCGACTCCTGGTCGCCACCAGCAGCCGTACTCCATCCACCGCCACCGCCAAGCCACCGTCATTGATCGGCGATCGCTTTTGGGGCAGCTGAGCCACCGACGACGGCGACGGCGACTTGTCAACCACCTGGCACAACTGCACCACTTTTGTGGCGGTTGCATCAACGGGCTGAACTTCAAACCGGCGGCAGGCGTTGGTTTCCCTCGAAATCTACGCGAAAGTGGAAACGCCAGCGATTTGCGTAGCCCGCAGCGATAGTTATAGCTTCCTCAGCTCACATGTGCCGTCCCTTATTTGGAAGCTTGTGTGCGAAGCGCAACAATTATATGTGCGGCGCGGCCTGAGCAGACTCACACAGGCGAGCGAGCGCGAAAAAACCAGCACAGCAACATCGGTGCACTGGAAAAAACGAGTGATTCCGCTGGGGAACTGGCCATGCCCCACTCTTCGCTTCTGGGCGTCCAACGATACTCAAAGTAAATGGCAGGCGTTCGCACAGCAAGAGAAAGGGATTCGATTAGGAACATAAATTCTTTTCGCCCAGTGTAGCGTCGGCGTCGCGAGTTCATGCTAAAGCGAGTGCGAGTGCGAGTGCGAGTGAGAGGGTGGGAGGGCGCGGGTGCAGCGGAAAGGAGCAGTCGTCGCCACATTGGCTGACTTATGACGAAAATAATTGCTGGCTATTGCTATCGCTAACTGGCGATCGCGTCAGCGCTATCGATTAGTCGTAGAAAGCCCATCGCAGTTAGCCCGTTTCCATTGGCCCGTTGCACGCGGCGTATGAGTAATCAATAATAATTTGACCGCCGTTCCATGGCGATGCTCCTCCGCTGCTCGCCGCGATGTCAACGTGGACCGCGTGTGGTCCCAAATCGATTGCCATAATAATTTCGCGCAGATTTAGCACGGCAAATGCAGGCACAACCACTTCGACTGCGACAATCGGCGTGCCGTATTGTAATTTACTTAATTTCGAATCGTTCTGAATACGCAAATTTTGCATTTTGCCAGGCGGGAAAAAAGTGGAGGAAAACATTGTCCGTGCATTAGTTACATGTCTATAGTCGCGCTTGTTTTCGCTTACTTGCTGTTATGAAAGGCGACTGCGCGGCGTCTGTTTCGCCTGCTTTTGGTTGTTTTTCAGCTTTTCTGCTTTTCTGCTGCGTTTGATATGCAAATTGTGTGCTTTTACAAGGAGACGCAGAATTATCGTATCTGTCGACGGTCGTCGTTGTTTTTGTTGTTGTTGTTGTTGTTGTGGGAGCTTTGAATCGGGGGTTCCATATGGTAATTGCACACATCTACCGAGCGGGCAAAGCCCAGAAAATCGGATATTTAGTGGCCCAAACTCCACATTTAAGTTTAATGCGATAACACTTTTCTTCTGTGAAGGGCGGAGGAAAACTACTTTCTCCTAATACAACTCTTAGAAGCTGACAAGCTTCTCTGGATTGACTTAACGTCCTTCCGCTGCTGGGAACACTTTTCGGGGAAACCTGCGTGTGCCACACGGCGAATGCGCAACATTTGCGTAAGATCTTTGGAAATCAGCAAGCAGCTCGGACTCGGCTTTGGTTTTGGCTTGGGCTTTGGTTTGGCTGCCACTTACGCGACAACGCCTTGACATGCCCACACGTCCGGCGACAACAACACCCAACAACTTTGCAACATGCCACAGCATTTTGGAATGCTTGGCCGCTGTTGCGGCGTGTGAGAATTCACGAGTGTGCCCCTCCGTGGATGTGGGGGAAGCCCTTAATAAGGGAGCCCAAATTTATAATGTGGCACGCAATTAATTCACTGCCAAAGCTGCCAAGCGAAGGCGCAAAAATTATCACACCATTCAAATGACGCTCACGAATGTTTTTCGAGCCGCAGTTGCGGAGCTGCCGAGCGGCAGAACTGGTGGGATTGGCTGGCCACCAGCGACTTGCAGCATGCAACAACTGGTGGCAAGCAAAGTCGACACATTTTGTTTGTTCCGAACCGTTCTCTTTGGCGGCAAACATTTAACAAGCATCGCCTGTCCGCTGGCCGAGGATGCCACCTAGAAAGCTCACGCTAGGCGTCCAATTGGCTGGAGTTGCCGCCGATCATGGTCATGCCACATGGTGCCCGCCGTCCACTGACTGGTGACTAGTGCCTGCTGCCTGGTGCCACCAAGTGGACAATGCACGGGTCTTCGGCCGGTGGTCCTTTGTCTCGGGAGCGCTCCTTGCCGCCTGTCAGTGCTAATTTGTTGCTGCTCGTGCAGTGCCACTAAAAATATAGCCATAAATGCTGATCGGCAGGGAGGAGGAGCAGCTCCGCCGCTCGGGGGAGAAATCTGCATGTCCTTAATGCCGGCAACGTGCGAGTTTTACAAATTACGAAATGAGCCTGGATGGCAGTCGCAGTCCACTCTTTTTCCCACGTCTCATTAAAATTGCAGTTTAAATTCAAGATGCTGCCTCTGTTCTTTTACTTTCTATCATCGTCATCGAGTCACCGAGTCACCGAGTCACCGAGGCAGAGATGCGAGCCAAGACGACGTCCCATCGTCATTATTGTCAACTCTCAACGAGTTGCCAATCGTCTGCCGTCTGTCCTTTGTCTTCTGTCCCGGCTATCTTTCTGCCTGCCGTTTCTAGATTGATGTCTCTGCAGTCGGGCAGCCAGTCAGTCAGTCGGTCCACGAGTCCATGGGTCCATCTGTCCCGAGTCCGCCCGTCCGAAAGTCCCGCGGAATTATGCGAGGTGGTGGTGATCGGGGAGCGGCTGGAGCTGGAGGTGGAGGTGGAGCTGGGCAGTGGGCAGAGGCCAGCTTGGCACAGTTTGCGCACTTCGGCATCTCCACTGCCCCTCGCCGAGATGGAATTTCGGGCGGAGATTGCCCCAACTTCGAGATAAGGCACACAGTTTTCATTTGAGAGCTGAAGAATTTTGGGTTCTATATGTGATATGCGTCGAAAATGTATTTATTAAACGAGCCTGCTTACGCTACAGATGTACAGACGAAGTTGAAATTATGGCATTTTAAAGCACTCAGAAATCACAAAAGTATCTTTGATAAATTGGTTGAGTGCTGAGTAATTATTCAGTGTTCTAATCAAACGTTACCCCATTTCAGTACTTTCATTTGCGATAAATAAAGTGCAATTTCTGCAAATAAATAAATGAAATGTAAATTACTTCCCCAGTATGATATTCACATGTACTTCATAGATCTAATCTATAATCTTGGATCATACAAAAAGGACCTCAAGTGTCCTGCTGCAGACTGTCTGTCCTAAGCAAATGCAATTACTTGATAAACCGATTTATTTGTACAGTTTTTGTGAGCTGATGACTCCAATCACGAGTATTTCATTAGAAAGAACTTCTCATCCGATCCGCAAGTTCGTCGCAGTTGTGCAATTCTTTTGTTTGATTTGGCCGCTTAGCTGCGACGTACTTTTAGTTGTGCTGCCCACGATGTGGATAATTGTTTAGCTGTTATTGTTGTTATTGGACGTTAATATACATTTGATTCTTGTTACACTCGTACATGTGTATAAGAAGTGGAAACGTGGAGTGTGTGTGCGCCTTAATTAAAACCGTGGCCGCTGCTCGTAGGAGTTAATTAGACTGCGGAGGTGTACGGGCCCAGTTTTCAGTGTTCAGTTTGCAGCTTTCAGTCTCAGATACGCCGATCCGGCGATCCGACGATCCAGCGATCGTTCGCTTTCAAGTCAAGCCCCAGCTATTAGTCGCTCAATATTACGCGTTTGGCGGACAACATTGTTCTTGCTTTTTGCGCTCTCCGTGTTCTGTGATCTTGACTTATCGACGGTATGGGATGGATGGGATGGTATCGGGTTGGGGTTGGGGTTGGGGATGGTATAGGGGACACGGGCTGCTGCTGTTCACACGCTGCTCATCAACAATTGCTGTCACGAATTTTCCACTCGGCGCTTTTTGCGCGCGCTACTTGTTTGTATTTTAAAATTTATTTATTTGTGCAGCCTCCACAGCCTCCACAACCTCCACTGTCTCGGAAGCTGTGGAGCTCTTTAGCTCTGGATCTCAGAGGCCTCCACACACATGATGGGGATCCTCTCGTGGAGTGAAGTGCAGTGGATCGGATCGGATCGGGTCGTCCGCGCGTAGTGTGTGTGCTCCTCCTGGAGCGCACTGAAGAATGCATTTGATCAGATAATGTAATTCGCATTTTAAATTGAGGCGCATTCCCAGTTATACTTCTTCTCACATGCATTTACCTGGCCGTCGCAGGCATCCTTCGATTTGCGACGCGGAGGAGTACGACTGCTGGACTGGGCTACTGGGCTGGACGGGGCCAGCCTCATCTCCTCCAGAGGAACCCCACGACCATTCCGATCCAACATTGCGGGCGTTGCATTATTACGCACAAGTAAATCATCGAAAGACGTCGCTGCTGTCCGCCGTCGAAAGCCAACGGCTTGTTAAGTAATTTAGTTGGCCTTTTTTGCCAACTCTCTCGGCGCATTTTGCTTTTTCTATATGGCATTTGGCGTATTTGTTTAAAGAGCTTCTTGTGAGCTGAATTTGTTATTGTCTCTATAAATGTAATAAATTGGCATTCAATTAGGCCAAAGGTGTTTTGTTCTCTGGTGGGTAGAAGTGCTCGTTCGGCTCGGCAGTTGATCAGGAAATATGATGATGGGTTGAAATGAAGGAGGACGATCTACTGACATTCGTATTCTTCTGTGTATACTAGAATTCGGTCTTAATTATTTTTCATTCGATGGCTGTTTATACATTTTCAATTTGCATTTCTTTTCGTAACTGCGACGCCTTCACTTCGATTTCCTGATCCCGAAATCTTGTGGCTACTTGGCCAATCTGGGTTCGAGGCAATCTGGCATTAGCATATCGGTCATAGGATCTATAACTAAACTCGACGGACAGTTGACAGTTTACTCCGCCCGCAGACGGATCAGATTGGATCGGACGGTACGGGATCATATGGGATCCGTCATGCGAAGAGGCTCGTCCTGCTTTCTAACGATGGCATTTTTGATATTTGTGACACGCAGATTTTCCATCAGTGTCAACAAGGCATTGTTTGGCGAACGTCAACGTGGTTGGTCCTGCTCCTCCTGCTCCTCCGACCCTCCCGGTCTCCACTTCTCTGACTCCATGCTCCAAACTCCCGACTCCTGACTCCCCAACTGACAGACTCGATCGGCCGTCCGATCGTCGTCGATTTTTCAGCATCAGAGCAAAGGCAGACAAAGTCGGGCCAATGCAAAACCGAATGCAGCGCGTACATTTGCATAGACACAAAATTATATGAGACCGAGGCCCGGGCCGAAACGCAGCTTCCTGGTCTTTTTGTGTCTGAAATTTATGTACCCACACAATGGGGTAAGAAAACAGTTGGAGGAGCCCGTCTCCGCTCCGCTGCTGGGGAGCCGTGGGGCCCGCGGGGACGTGGGGCCCGTGGTGTTGGCCTAAACACCATTCTAGCGGTTCGTTTAGCTTGTTTATTGGCATGAAAATCTATCAAAAATGCATCATGCATTTTATATTTATTGTACGTAAGTACAAAAATAATGTGCTTGACATTTGACCCGGCCCAAACGACAACAGCGTTATGGTCGGGCCACATGTTGCCCATGGTCTGTGGCCAATGGCCACGTTGCCACGCTGCCACGTTGCCACGCTGCCTGCAAGTCTACCAGTCTACCAGTCCCGACTGATTATGAAACTGGCTGCTTTGTCGGTGTCCGGGGATATTTGGTTATTGTCTTCGGACTTGCATTCTAACACAAATCAAAACGGGCAACAGCAATCCCAACACTCGCCACTTAAATGCTCGTTTATAATGTTGTTAAAATACAATAAATAGCCAGGACTCGCAGCAGGCGGTTTTCACTGGCTCTGCGACCCGAGCCCATTTCCATTGCTCATGCTGATTTATGAAATGTGGACGCCGATGTGGCGGCCCACAAGCCGCAGCAGAACCCCCACCCCGGCTGCGGCCAGCTTTCTGGCCAGGCTTAGACCCGGCACTGGGAACTGGGAACTGGGTACTGAGTACTCGATTCCAGGGGCCTCTAGCTGGGCAAAGTCGGCAGGGGCGACTGTGTGATTGTGGGCCCGTGATTGAGTTGTCGGCCCGCTGGGCTACTGTTTGCAGTTCGCTGAGTGGCTTATCTCGCGGTGCATCGCAGCTGTTCGGCCAGCCCCCACTTATCACGGCTTAGCAGGAGGGGTCAAGGATTACGATTGCACTGGCACACCGAAAGTGTCTGAGTCGGAAACTCAGCCGCCTTCAGTGCTCCACTTAACGTGTGGATGATCTAATACAGCAGATAGTAGGGGAAACAGTAATATTAGCCCAGACTATCTATCTAATGCCTAATAGATCCTCAAAAGCTGTGCGAGTATCCCAGCACTAATTGTCACTCCTTAGATACGGTTGCCCTGCACCACTTGGAAGCGTCTCATTACTTAGTATGCTCATTACTCACCCGTAACTAGGTGCCAGCTGGTCTTGTCCAGATCTTCCTCATCTCCTTCCAGCATCCGCGATCACCCCGATCAGGTCTCAAGTATTCAAGTCACCATCGTTCGACGTGTCCGTACAATTTTCTTCACACACTTTCCAGTTCTTACTGATTGATCACACTGTTCACGTCTTTCAGTCACTGAAGCCAGAAGCAGAAAGCCGAGGATCGCTCCCCGATCGTCGTGCAGGTCACGCAGCTGCTCACAGACTGAAACGTAACCCCAGCGGTCGGGACTCTTGAGTCGCAACTCTTGAGTGCCGAGCCGGAGAAACCCGAGGAGAAACCCGTTTGGCGGGGCTTAAGAGTACGATCCGCACTGGCGGGAGTCGGTGGGTCGATGGGTGCGATAGGGAGGCCATGTGCGGCCGATCCGCTTGCACCTTCGGGCCGCTCTCTTCGAGCCTCTCTTAAGCCGCCTGTTAGGCAGCTATATCTCATATAGTCCTCCCTGGAGCGCCGATCTGTGGGCGGGACTTGTGGCCGCTCGTGTGCGTATTAGATTTTATAGACCCGCTTGTGACTTGCTCAGCAATTCCATTTTGGGCCGGGCCTATGTACATTGGCTGCGTGGGGACAGATGGGCAATGGGCAAGCAAATGAGTGGTCCCCGGTCGCAGCGGGCATGAAAATTCAATTTGCACCAACCTGCTACAAAATGACGTATCTCTGCATGTATTTACTGGAATTTATTCAGTATACTCGTACAAGTAGATGTATAAAGTCGGATGGATATCGTTGTTGGGTGTAACCAGTTCTCGAGCAAAAATATGAAATCAGCGATTGAATATTTTGTATTCCGCTTGTGGGCGTGGGCACGCTCCGGTCCTATAGATGGTCTTGGCTTTGCTTTTGTTCATTTTTGTAAAATGACACAATTTAATGATTTCCAAACAGTTCTCGCCTTGGTCTTTGACTAATGACGAAGGCGCTGGAACTGATTTGTCAATTAATTTTGGCTGTGGTCGATTTTGGTGACGTTTACAGGGGGTTTCGATTGGCGATATCGGTTGGGTTTTCAAAATTTGCACATGAATATGACATTTCTAGTTCTAAATATAATCATGGGGCTTAAAAGTTGGAAATTATTTGTACTTATCTGAGCATTGTTTACGTATTCCACGAATTACAGCTCCTATCTGAACAAGACCAATGTCATTATCGGGTTTGGCTTCGCTTGACCTCTATCCAATTAAAATGAGTTTCTAAAATGACAAAACAAACATTTTAAAATTGATTTATAAGCCTCCAACGAGATGGAACTTTATCAAAGCCACCATGGCACGCATTCAATGGGATGCCCAGCACTTAATCGCTGTCAGGGGCTCCAGATTGTTTTCTCAGTTAGGGACCTTCTTCGGTTTGGCCTGGCCCAAACATCTAGCCAAACATCGAACTCAGTTGGCTGGGGGCACCCACATCAGCGAACCCCTTGCATCCTTCCAATCGGAGGCACTTAACATACGCCGAGTTGAGATCTTGTATTCGTATAATTGCAATTTCCATTCAACTGTTTGTTCGCCGCCGCTCTGTGTCCGACTCCGTTTCATTTGTTTGGCTAGTTTTGCGGTTGTTAGTGCCCATCATAAATTGCAGAGGCGGCCAGGGGATCCCCTCCGGAGGAGTGGAGTGGCCAGGGGCGCAGAGGGAGCGGCACAGGCTAATCGGTGGCGTTTCATCTGCGGCCTGCTGTCCTGTTGCCTCTTGTTCGCCTGTCGGCGCACGCATAATTAGGCCTGAGGACAATCGTTTTGGTGGCTGCACTGCGAGAAATTAGGGCGAGCTGATTTGCATACATGTGCATCACCACAAACACTAGACTAGGGGTACAGCAGTAGATCGAGTAGATTGAGATCTATATTGATATAGAAGCATGTTTCTTTCTGATGTCAAATTTCCTGTTCAATGTAGCATGAGATGTGCTCATTCGAGTACACCTCATTTGGCTGAGTGCACTGGTAGCAGGTTAGCCCTCGCAATTCGGCCAAATAATTGGTAAGCCAAAACAATAAGCTCGTTTCTCGTACTCCCGGCCAATCGTGGCATCCTAATGCGGCCGAGACATTTAAATAGATGCTAATTCCCATCATAACTGACTGGAGACCCGTTTCCCGTTCTCGGGTCCAAATGAACTAATGAATTTGAACCCGCCACTCGATTGTGGCAGACTCACGACGATTGGAGGCGACTTCCAACTTCCTGCTGGCCGCTTTCTTTGCGCGTGAATCCGTGTAACCGCAGCCCGCAGCAGAGAAAAGACACAAACTGTGATTTGCCCAAAAACAGAAAGCCGGCCAGAAAGCCTCGCTTTGCGGGCTTTGCGGATATAAACGCTTTAAAACTCCATATTGTGGCCTGGCCCGGATGCGACGACAATTGTGAAGACGACCAAATGGCCAAATCCGACTCCGAGTTTAGCTGGCAAATGTCTACGCAGTGTTGTCGCTTCTGCCGCTTTTGTTGCCCTGCGCTGCTGCCAGTCGGTTGTTGGTAGTTGGTTGTTGGCTGTTGGCTGTTGGTTGTTCGCTTGTTGCCGCTTCGTGTCAACTGACTTTTGCCTCAGCTTTCGGCTTTTGTTTCCACCAGCCAAGCCGCCCCATTTTGCTTAGCCAGCCGCCAACCGAGCCATCCCAGCCATCCCATAACATTTTCCCCAGCGTTTCCTGCTCAAAATGTTGCCGCTGTCCTGCGGTTCTGATTGTGGATTCCTCCTACGAAATCGAGGGACAGTGGTCCACAGAGATGGCTTACTTGAAATGAAATACTTACTTGAAGTAAGAATATTTTCTATATTTTCTGCATAGTTAAGGAAGAAGAAATACCATTCACTATTGGGTTGTAAAGACTTTAAAGAACCCCAAACCTGCCAGCTACTTTAGTACCCAATGAACAAGTATACATTTTTTATAGAGACTGGGATTGTGTTTGTTGATTTCAATGATGTGTCGTTTGGGCAATAAACACCGGAATTGGAGTAACCCAAAACCATTTCATCTCGTATGCAAACCCCTTTGTGCCACTGTTATCCTTTGGCCTGTTCCCTGGGCAATTGTGCGTTAGATTTAAGTGCTTTCGTTTGCCAGGCTTAATTTGCATTTTTATTTTTATGTTTTCATTGAAAGCGCCAGCATCAATGGAGCCCGCTGGCCTCGGAGGCTTTGGAGGCTTGTGAGGCTTCGGAGGAGAGCACATTTGGCTATTCCTTTGTTTTCGGCTTAAAGTTATCAGAGTCGGTAGATGTACACGGCATCAACGGTAGCAGCAACATGCAAAATGCAAATGTTTATTGGCCAAATGCTGAACGATCTCGGCCAGCTGAACTGAGAACGGTCCTTCTGTTGCCGGGCCTCCGAGTTGCCAAGTTGCCGAGTTGCCGGGCGATTGGAGCGGGTGCTGACTGCCACAAAGTTGTCGCCTTTTGTTGTGGCAGCAACCATTTTGGTAAAAACAACTAATCAATTGGCAAATGTGCCATCCGTCAATCACGCAGTCAGTTGGCGGTGGTGTAGGTCACACGACACCACTCGGCGGCTGCGGCAGCGGCAACTTCGGTTGCAACTTGAGTTGCAACTGCAACTGCAGCGGCCACCGAATTGACTCGCATTCACTTTTGGGGCACATAAAATGCCACCTTGGTTGTGAATGTCAGTTAGCCAATTTGAAAATTCATTCATTCAGTGCTTTGACGACTCGCTGACTGACTATTGCCAACATTTATTATTAGCCTTTCCCAAACTGACTATTTTTGGAGCTGCCGATGGCCACACAGCAGCAGCCGCAGCCGCAGCAGCAGCCGCAGCAACAACAACATGCCGCACATATCACAGCAAGACAAATTTCTATATAATTGCATTTGTTGCAGGCTCTCCAAGCCTCGAAGTTCGATACCACTGGCGAGGCCAGATCGGCCAGACAATGCCAGGCATTATTTTTATATAAATTGCATGCCATTGGCCCGGCCAGTTGGCATTCCATCCAGCCAATTGTCGGTGGAGGGTTGAGGCTCGAGAGTCGAGAGTCGGGGCAGGGTTTTCGCTCCGATTGTGTTTTTGCCTCGCTTTTAGCCAGGCTCAAACTCTAATTGTCATTTAATGAGACACGCTCGGCATTTGCGCACGACACACGACTATCAATTTGGCAAGTTGCAGTTGGCAGCGACAGTAGCATCAGAATCCAAATCCAAATCCGAATCAGAGTCAGCAGTAGAAGAAGCCACCGATGAATCTGTTTGATTCGCTGACAACCCCAACTTGTCGCACTGCATCGGTTCTGCAAGTTAAATGCGATATTGATGAAGCGCCAGCTGGAATTGCATTTAGCAACTGAAGCAGATATTGGCATATCTACACTAAAGTATCTTCTTCGAGAGATAAGCTCGAAAGTAGCTCAAGAGTTTAACCACTGAAATCTCTTCCTTATAGCATGTTCATTGGATAAGCGTATTATATGTTTCTACGAGTATGTATTTATAGTTGAAATTTCTTGGCAGATGCAACGAAAATGCTGTCTTTGCATTGGTATGATTGGTATGTGCAGAAATTAAATGCCAAAAGAATAATTTCTAATTATATTACCCTAATCTGATCAAGATTGTATATTATAAGGTGTTCATGTGACATCAAACCCTAAATTAGGTCATACTGTTACTTTAAATAGTTAATCGGCTGATAATGGAATCAACCCCCGAGATGATTTCAGATGAGAAATCTGCGCAGCGAGCACTTAAGGGGTTTTTTCCTCGGCGAATCTCAATAGCCTCCGTGGCGCAATTGGTTAGCGCGTTCGGCTGTTAACCGAAAGGTTGGTGGTTCGAGTCCACCCGGGGGCGCATAAAAACTTTTTTTTAATTTGAATTTAATAAATAGCTTCTCTAATGTCGTTGGTTCATGAGCTTTTGTTTATTGCTTTTGTGCGGCGAATTTAAAGTGTGCAATTAGTAAAGGGAAATCGCACACGCCATGGGAGGTCTGCGAATGTGTTCCGCGAACACAGAATATATTGGGCAATTAGAGAGAACGACGAACAGTCGTATAATTTGATTTTTATTGAGCGATAGCAGCGCCATTACCAGGATTATTTCAGGCCTTATACGTGTGTGCTTCAGACGCAAGCCTGGGCACAATGTAACCTTTACATGAGCAGCTCCACTTTCAGCCGCCTTCTGTTGGCCCACCGGTTTTTTCGCATCTCCGCTGCAACTTAAAACCACGAGCGTAACAACAGTTGCACATGCACATGTTGGTGTCGCCAGCAACGTGGCCAAGTGTATCATGGCAACTTGGAGACAGTTTGTCGTCGCTGGCTCTGCTAATTAAAATGTCTTGGTGCTGTCACTCAAAAGGCGGTCGCCTGATCCACTGGCCAAGTCGAGTCGAGTCGAGACGGGTCTCTCGGTTGCCAGCGGACGGCGATGATGACGACGCCCATTTTAGTCGGCAGTCAGCGGCAACAATGCGATTTTGCCTTTCGCGAAACGCTGCCGCTGCTGCTGCTGCTGCTGCTGCTGTTGCTGCAGCCAATTTCATTGGAAGTCCGCTGATGATGTGGCAGGGGCACGCGGCGTATGCGCAATGCAACTGCGATCTCCCTCGCACAAAATGGCGATCGCATTGTTACAGTTTGCAATTATTTTGATTTATTTTTTGTTCGTCCCAGAGGTTGAGCACTAATCAAAATTAAAATGACGCGTTCGCTGCCATCCCATCCAAGGCGATGCGACGACAACGATGATGATAGCCCCGCACCGATCTCCCCGCTCGCCGGAGAGCCAGAAATCAATATTCTAAATTCTTTAACGCGTGTGCACATTTAAGGCAACGCCAGCTCATTGAGATGCGTGCCGGCAAACAGCCTGGCCAGCACTTATACGCAATTTCGCGCCATATTTGGGCCAAACATATTGGTTTTTTTTTGTCATCTCGACGTCTCCTTGCTCCCTGCACTTGGCTGGCATATAGAACAGCGCACCGGGCGGACCACAGACCACAGACCGCAGATCCCAGCCAAACCCACTCCCAGCCATCCTAAGCTACGCTTAGCCTAAGATCAGCCTGCCAGACTGTTTGTCTACTCCACTAATCGGGTGTCTCTGCTTGTTTCTTTCCAGGATGACCGATCGCCTACCTCGTCGGGCAACGAGTCGGATGATTCGTCGGACGTGGAGATGCCGGTGGAGGCTGCTGAGGTGGCAACCAAGTTGCCGGCCAGCAAAACAGAGGTAACAGCGCCTCCAGCCGCCTCCTGCTCGGCGTCTGCCGCGTCCTCTGGCCCCAAAACCATGCCAGCATTGAACTATCAGACTGAGACCAACAGCGGACCCTCGACGTCCACGGCCGCCGGAGGAGGAGCCTCGGCGGACAGCAAGTACGTCTACTCAGCTGCCTCGATTGCCAACATACCGCAGAAGATGCTGAGGCAGCTCATCCAGTCGGGCCACTTGCAGGTGCACGCCGAAGAGGGTGAGTAGCACTGAAATCCCCAACTAAAATCCCAGTACTAAGCCGACACCCAACTTACAGATGGCAACCAGTATGTGACCATACCACTCAGCTCCACGGCAGCCAACCTGATAAAGAGCAATAAGCTAACAGCCTCTGGGTCGGGAGCGCCCGTCAAGAACGATGCCAGTGCCGACAAGCCCTTGACCATCAAACAGGAGTTCGATTAGCCCCCAGCTACGCCCACTGCTTATCCACCACTGAGAACTGCGTTTATCCACACTTGCCCGCATCATCTGGAGAAATCATCAGCAGGAGATTACCATTACTCACCCACTACTCCCCTAAAGTCTAAAGTCTATCCAAAGTTTTCGCGTCATCAGCCGGGGATGACGATCGCCTGCTACGTCTAAGTCATACTATATCTACTATACCGTATATATACTATTTTTTATACCTATACAAGGAGAAGTGAAAAGAGAACTCCCTGAGCTGGTACCCAAGATGCCAGCGGCATATCTACATACGTAAGTTTTAAAAGTTTTGCAAGTTATACAACGTACAGGCATCTGCTGATATCGAGATGAATTATGATCGGTGATTGTATGAGAAATGGAAAATGAGGATGATATGGATGTTCCTAAATCGCAGAGATCATGTTGCTTTGTTACTAGTTTATATTGTTTTATTATACAATACATAAATACATATAAACCACTTTTTTTGCATAAAACCAAGCCCCCAGTGTGTTTCACTAGAAGGCGGCCAGCTTAATCCTTTAAATTAAAATGCTTCTTGCCAATTTGCTGGCAACTAAGCCAGGTAATTCATGGCTCAATCAAGTCAAATGACACTTAAGCAGCTGAGAGCCCGCCCCAACGATTATGGGCACCCACCTGCTAGTATATATACTATACATAGTGTGTATCTATGAGAGTGCTTGGATTAGGCACACTCACAAAAAGAGCAACGGAAAATGCCTTTTGGTATTTTGCCGCTTGATGGATGTGTCCGTGGTGGCTATTGTGCAATTGATTGATTGACGACATAATCTTATTGACACTTAACCTAATTAAACGTCGCTCATTACTCGCCGGCTCAGGTAGTCGCACTCGCACTCGCACTCGCACTCGCCGTCTAGCACCTGTTACCGCTTATGGCCCTCGATTGGGGCTAAGGAGCCCAGGTCCCCGTCCCCGTCCCCGTCCCGTCCTCCCATTGATCTTTCTGGCCGGTGGAGGGAGGGGGCCGAGTACTTCCGCTTCGGCGGAGGCACTTTGCATGCAGGAGGCCCACAAAAGGCCACAAAAGACGCAACGTGTGGCACATACTAATGCTTGCCACTTACCAATTGGAGTACTATGGGGAACGCTTACCATATTTCCCAATAAAACAATGGATATTCAAGAGTTAGAACCTTGTTCGTGGAAAACAAGTCCTTGCTCTTAGGATAATAACTAGGAGACAACCACCAATTGCATACTCACCGCGTCCTCTTGTCTAAGCGTAAGTAAGACCACTAATACTTAGCCACTCTCCTTACAAAGTTCCAAAATACTTTTCCATGCATTTCCACTGTGCGGTGGACGACAGACGACCTGGGCGGCGGTTTGGCACGCGCCGCGGTTTCCGCGGACTTCGGCTGCGGTCTTGGTCTTCGAATTTGACTTGGGGTTCAGCCGGAAGCCGTTAGTTGTTTGGGCCATGTGGGCTTTTATGGCCGAGTGCTGACGGCGGAGACAGAAATCAAAGACTACAGCCATCCCACTCGCCGTTGGCCCGGTCCCGGTCCCGGTCAAAGTTGAGTAGGTCACTAAACTCGGATATCGACGCTGTTTGCGAATGGAGCCGCAATTAGCGTTGATTATGGCCAGCAGAGTTGAGTGACATTTTGTGGGCTAGAACGGGCTGGTCATGTGTGTGTTCATTATTAACCGCACCCACGCAAACTCATGTGAATATTGATCCTGGTGGCAGCAGTGTCCGCTCTGCTGTCCTGCCATACCTGCGATTATTAATAATGGTCACGCGCGCGGCCAACTTTGCATTGCGATTTCTTGGTAGTCAGTTGCCATCGCGTTGTCCCGACAAACGGCTGTGTCCTGGAGGACTAGGATACCTACGGAAAATCCAATCGTGGGAAAATCAATACTAATGAGCCATTAAACGTGGCCTCAGCTGCAGTCGGCCGTAGTCTAATGAGCTGAGCGGCGGCGGAAATTGAATGTTGGCTCTAACCAAGCGGCTGCAGCAGGAAATCACATCGGCATCGCTCTTAGCCATCTCTCCGCCGAACGGAAACGGTAAGGGTGAAGGTGGAGGTGAGGGTGAGGGTATCAGAAGCACTAAAACGGAAGTCTTAGGCGTAATGCCTTGCGCCTGAGTGGATGCGTAGCATGGGCTGCTCCAGTTCCAAGACCGCCGCCACCGTAGAAGACAGCAAATCATCGAAGCCCGGTTCGGCCAAGTCCAGTGCAACGAGAATGGCCGCCAAGAAGGAGTACCGTAGGTCGCGATATAAAGCCGATTAATGGGAATTTAAGCAGGAACCCACCTCCTTTCAGCCGCCTCTGAGGCCTTCACCATTCCTTTGGAGAGCGATGACAATGCGGAGATGCCGCTGAACGAGACGGTGCGCCAGCCGCCGAAGAGGATTCAGCTGCTGATGCAGGAGGCGGCCAGCTCGGAGCCACTCACCTTGGAGGAACTGGAGGAGAAGCAGCTGAAGGCCGAGCAGAGGCGCCAGGAGCTGATGCAGCAGAAGCTGGAGATCATACAGAAGAATGCACAGATGCTCATGAGGCCTCATGAGGAAACCCCTGGCGAAGGCGACCGGAACGAGGGCGCGGAGGAACAGCCCGAAAAGGTCTAACTATGTATCTCTTTTTCATTCACATTTTTATTGTTAGCTTTAAATTATATATGTATTACTATATATCGTAGTATATTTCCAAACAATTAGATTGTATGCAATTAAATCTGCTCTCTTCGTCAAAATGCTGTCCATCTGCTCTGGTTGTAATCCTATATGTCAAACCTTTTCTCTTGGTAGTCAAAAACGTGATCTATTTGTAATCGAGTGTTAAATATGTACGTCTAAAGGCTAAATGTAGGTATTTCGGATTGCGGATTTCATATTTCAGATATCAGATTTCGGTTTTCGGTTTTATCGACTCGCGACTTGGGTCGATTAGATATTGTTTGCAGTACTATATGCTTCATTAGGATGTGTGTGCGTGGTTGTAAATCATGTCTTTTGGATTGGTTGGTTGCTTACACTTGTTCTTGTGGTTGCTCGGTATCGTTACATCATATTAAACGTCGTATTCATATATATGTACTTGTATATATCGTATCGTTAGGTATAAATATGCGTACTGTGTCACAGACACTACAAATGTCGCTTTGATTTCGGCTTGATTTCGGCCAGGCCCCGCGTCACTCGGCTTAACTGGGGCCAACAATTTGTTAATATTTCAATTAGTTACCTACACACTCATTAAAAATGTTCGCTCCCCCGATCGCATCGAATATATCGTAGTACCTGGATGTCGTTTGCTTACACTGTATGTATTTTACTCTCTCATATGCCTTGAATATGAATATGCTTGCGGTTCACTATTAGTTACAGTAGTTACTGGAATTGGTGCACTTCGAAGAAGCAATTGGTTAATAGCTATGAGTTGTGGTACGATTCGGGATGCTGCCCAAAGAGATGGTCCGCCAGTCGGCGGATTGGCCACTTTCAGCACAACCTATTGTTAGGGTTACTAATACTATCCGTCCAGTGTCCGGGTGCTCACGATCCTGATCCCCGCCCCACGTCCGTGTCTGTGTCTGTGTCTGTGTCCTGATCCGCCTCAACTGGGCCATCCCTTCGACACACGTGCCCCAAACATATTGCTTGCGTTACTGTTGTTACTCCCGGGTTAAGATCGTCCCGGTTTCGGGGACGTTTCCACGTCAGTTACAAAAGGTTTGTTCTTAGTAGTCGAACCATGGTGGGTTGCGTTCTTAATACATACAAATAATCGTTATTTTATACATACATATTCCGATATATTAGCAGGTATGTGTCTACAAGTTGATTTGCACGGTTGACGCTTGTTCGGCTTTGGTTTCTACACACATGTACAAAAAACAAACTTTAACTATTGAAAACGAGCAGTACAATCACAATATTCCCCCTACAATTAATACATGTCCGTCATGTCCCCCCACCTACACAACGAAAGTCGTAACGAGAACAAAACGATTCCATTGGTTGGCCAAGATGCAACCGCCATTCGTTGACCGCGGAACTTAATCCTCCTACTTTGAACTTGTATTAAAGCTTTTTTGGTTTCTGCCTCGCCGCCTTTCGCCAACAACTTAAGCTAACTCATTTGCCATGTGTATAATAATAAATATATATCTTATATATGTGTATGTATGAATTGCAATCGTAATCCATTATATTTGTATTAAATTCTTCTGCATCGAGCATGTGCCTACCTAACAGTACGTAAACGCTAACAAAATGGAATCTCCTCCGCCTCCTGGGACCGTGATCATCGTGATAATTCTGTTGTGATCAGGTGCTGCGGAGGGTTGCCTGGGGAATTAGTCTAAAGACACCTTAATGAGATCTTTGGCTTGAATGGAAGCAGCTGGTCGAGCTTCATGGGTCTAACTGGGCCTGGAAGAGGTAAGTGGGTGGAATATGTCAAGGTAGAACCGCAGAAGTCGCCTCTGAAACTGTCTTAAAACTTATTTTCACACCGCGAAACCTCAGTTCTGGCAATAATTATTTGGGGCAACCCTCTCGAAATGGTGATGCGTGTATATAGTCGGGGGCTAGACATCAAAAAATCAGTACTGCTTGTCAATGGGTAATCCTAAGCCTAGTTTTGGTTTTACTGCCTCCCAAAATTCTAGCACACAACACTTATTGCAACTACTAGTAGTTAACCGGCCAGATGATGGGTGATTAAGTATTAATTATCTAGTTGTAGACGCCGCGCACCATGCCCTCGCGGTTCCGGGTGTGCCACTTGCAGGTGAGGATCCGGACGTAGGTCCTCCGGAAGGTGGCGTTGCACAGGGCGTAGCACATGGGGTTGATCGTCGAGTTGATGTAGCACAGGGCGTAGAAGAAGTCCCACAGCTCCGTGGGGATGCAGTCGGAGCAGGTGGTCAGCGGCTTGATCAGCACCAGGATGTTGTACGGGGTCCACGTGATGATGAAGCTCAGCAGGATGGCCGACAGTGTCTTGGCCGCCTTCGACTCCTGCCGCTTCTCCTGCGATTTCTTCTTCTTCTTGGCCGCATTGCGGGCGTTCATGAGCGCGTGGGCCCCGCCCACTCCGCCACCCGCTGCCGCGGCCCCAGCCTTGCCCAGCTGCTTGGGTATGACCTTGGCGTTGAGTAGCCTGGCATCGTGCTGAGCATGGGACATCCTCCGTCCGAGTGGCAGGCTGAACTCAGAGTCCCGCGAGGGCAAAGGTCGTCGGGTGGCTGCGGCGCTTGCCAAAGGAGGTGCCCCCGCCGGCGTCGTCGTCGTGGGCCCGTCCTCGTGTATCATCTTGATGGAGGGCGCACAGTCGCCTTGCAGGCTCAAGGCTGTGGAGGCAGCTGCCCCGGCACCAGCGGCACCGGCGGCACCCCCTCCTCCGTTGGCCGCATTGCTGGATGCTCCGTCGGATGGCAGGCGGATGAGTATCGTGTACACGGAGTCCTGGCTCACCGACCGTGAGTTAATGCGATTGATGACGGGCAGAGTGCGCGAGTCGCGATGCGTCGCATTTCCGGTCGCTCCCAGTCCGATTCCACTTCCGTTTCCGGCCCCACTCCCGTTCACTGCGCCATTGCCGTTGTGGCTGGTGTTGTTGTTGTTGTTGTTGATGTTGATGGCGCCATTGCCATTGCCAGTGGGATGCACATTGGCCGTCGTGCTCGCCGCAACCGCACTCATTTCCTGCAGCTGCGAAATGGAGGCGAGCGGTGGGCGTGGCAGCGGCGTGGGCGAGACATCCGACAGGAGAATGCTGGGCGGACGCACGCCGCTCACGCTGCCGCCCATCGAGTAGTTGTCCCGCATCACGTTCATCGAGGTGCATCTGCGAAGTGGAGGAAGAGAGGAGACAGGATGTGGCATTGGTTAGGCACTTCGAAAAACACACATTAGAGTGGACCACTCCAACGACATTGACAGGCAACTAGAACATGAACAACAGCTCGGGCCAAAATCTGGATGCAACTGTGCCTCTGCTCATCCAAATGTGGCACACTCGGACACACAGGACACAGAGGACACAGCAACACATCATGCATGTGGGCAGTGCATTTGGAATGGAAACAAGTGGCCGGAAATCGCAGCTTAAATCGATTACCCAGCCGATTGCCAATGGCACACATAAATTGAAACCAGTGCAGTGGTCAAAGAGATACGTATCTTTAAAATGCAATTCTGGCACTCGTTTCAATTATAGCTATCGCGTTTAAAATGGGTATCCTACACATTTTTGGGTTGGCCAGAGTGGCGACACATCGCGGACTCATCCAAAAGCTCATTTTCCCAACTCATTTCTATGCTAATTCAGATCCCAAATGGAATTGCACTTTAGCAAATTATTTAACTGTTTATATTTGCTAATTATTCCCCACTGATCTATGCGACCAATTTGCACGCAGTCTGTGAATTTATTCACGTCGGGAGAGTTTCAAATGGAATTTGAACGAAGCATGAAAATTAAAAATCATACACACATCTATTGTTCAACAAATTATAAATAAACTCCTATACGTAATTAGAAATACCCATAGACAGAATGTCTATGGACTGTGTGAAATATCTTAAGCTTGATTTTGGAGATAGGTAATATGAAATTCAGAAACGCATCATTGAGCGCAAGAGGGATTTGCAATCTAAGCTGAAACTATCACTTGTTCAAATCCAATTCAATGGATTAATTACAGCCAGCGGAATCAAGAAACTCCGGAGCACAATGGCCAGCTCGAACTACCTTGGACTGTAAGCCGCAATTAGTTTCCATCCCGATGTGTGCAGTGGTGCAAAGCCTTCCATCTACGTGGATTATTTTAGTGCTGGATGGACTTTGATGGATTCGTGTGTGGAAGGGTACAGGGAGTGCTCGATGGGCAGGGAAAGGGAGGGGATTGGGATTGGTGCATCGTGGTGGCCAGTGGAGAATGGACCCATGCTCCTCCTGCTGGGCACTTTTCACCACTGCCACTTTGCGTTTGTGTGCACAGGCATTGGACGGGAAATCGAAGATGTGCACGTATACTCGTATGATTTGGGTGCAAGTTGTTTGTTTGCCTCTCGGAAAAGTGCTCTATGTGCAGTGGAAGCGAGTCATACGCATAACTTGGGGTGAGAGAGTGGGTGCGGTGTCGGCTTACTCGAAATATAGACGATTAAAGTTCAGAATTTTGATTGTTTTTACTACCTGGAGACGGAGCTTTGTAAAGGAGTTTCAATTGTTACTGGTGTTGCATACCCTAAATCAGAAGGCTCCTCCTGCTCGTAGGCGAAGTCGTCGGAGTCCTCGCGACCGGAGTGCCACCACGCAATGCACCACTCCTTGATGCTGCCGAAGCAGGTGTACGATTTTTTGATTGTATTGGTGCTTTTGATCTGTGGATAGTGGGAATTAGTAACCAGAAACAGGGAAAAGGCGGTCAGAGTGTCCTACGCTTGACTTGCGCGAGTGCATCCCGTGGTAGCCGGAGTCGATGACCATGTTGGTCATGTAGACGCTCTCCGCGTCCGCCGAACTCTCGGAGCGCGGACGTCGCCAGGTGTCGTGGTCGTTGCCGCCCACCTGGGCGAAGGCCAGCAGGCCGCCGGAGGCGTGATTCACCACCGTGTTCTCATCACTGCAAAAGTCACAACATTCCATTACTTGCCTAAGTGCTTAGTTGTATATTTAGAATTATAATGTCCTTAATGTCCGACCAAGCCAAACAAACTCATAGGTTTGTAGGTGGAAAATGACTGTACAGTAATCATGCCGATTCCAACGTGACGCAAAATCAAAGAAAACGAATCAACGAGCTGTGAAATGAAAACCGCTTCAAAATTTCAAACTCAAAATGGTGCAGCTCATTGAGTCGCCAAATAAGCAAGAGATACTTCAGCTCAACGCTTCATCAGTTAATATTACTTTAAGGTATTGGTCAGACTAACAAACCTAGGTAGCTTGGTTCCTTAAGAAATCTGGCTGCACACATTTAACTTGCTTAACACCTTTAACTCACCTGCTGTTCGATCTCTTGCTGGAGTCCTTCTTGCCCGCCTGCAGGTTGGGCAGGTCCTTCTGCCGCTTTTTCGTCTCGCGCCAGATGCGCCAGTAGAGGAAGCACATGATGGTGACCGGGAAGTAGAAGGCGGCCAGTGCCGTGCCGAAGGTGATGTACTGGTTGGTCTCGATGAACTGGATGTAGCACTCGTCCTTGGGCACCGTGCGCTTGCCCTCGATGTAGGGCCAGCTGTAGATCCAGGGCGGCCAGAGGAGCAGGCTGATGCCCCAGGCGGCGCCAATCATCACCGCCGCCCGATTGGTGGTCCTCTTGGCGCGGTACGTCAGCGGGCGAGTGACACTGAAGTACCGATCGAAACTGATGATCAGCAGGTTCAGCACCGAAGCATTCGACGCCAGGTAGTCCAGGGCCAGCCAGGTGTCGCAGACAATGGGACCCAAGGGCCAGTAGCCCAGGATTGTGGTCACCGCAAAGAGCGGCATCGATATCGCGCCGATGGCGAAGTCCGCGATGGCCAGCGAGAAGAGGAAGTAGTTGCTGATCGTCTGGAGCTGCTTGTCGATCTTGAAGGATATCATCACCATGACATTGCCCGCCACTGTCACCGTGCTCAAAATCGCCGCCACGAAGCCCATGACCACCATGGAGGCCAGTGAGTACCGCGGGCCCTTCGTCTCGAAGCCCATGGTGCCGTTGGTCTGGTTTCCGTACATTCCCGAATAGGGATCGTATAGCCCGCTGGCCGCCGTGGACGTCAGGTTCTCGAACAGGGCGGTCAGGAGGGTGGTGCCCGGGTATCCTGGCGAGTACCCTGCAGGACTCGCCGTCGTCGTCGTCGTGCTGGTCGTCGTGGTCGTGGTGGTCGTTGTGCTCGTGGTTACGGTCTTAAACAGCGGCTCTAGTATGCTGGGCGGGCCATGGGCGGCCAATGCCAGACTCATGACCGGCTCCATGGCGTATACGTGATTTTATCTACTTTGCAGCTGTGCGAGTTACGATGCTCGCTGTCGCTCGCTTTCTCTCTCTGTGCTTGGCTTGTCTCTTAGTTGAGCCTCATCCGCTGCTTTTCCTTTTTACTGCACCCACGCAAGGCGTTGGCCATTTTCCCGGACCCTAAAAGAAGGAAAACGGGGATGTTAGGCGGGATTTCGGAATGGCCCGAACGGAAGGCAGCCTAAAATAATTGCTTTGATCTCATTACATTCAGTAAAAGAATATTATTTTCACTGTTGTTCATTAACACAAACACAACCATTATATTTTCAGTGCAGCATTCCAAGTACACATTACCAACTCGCATATGCGAACTGAAAACTCTTTACTGCCCTACGAGTATAGTTAGCCGTTCGAAGATCTCGTAACTTGGTAAATTTACAGCCTTTCGAAAGACCGTAATAAATATCACATAGATGCTAAAGGATGTGCAGCAAAGTGGCGCCGCAGAAGTTATTAAATTAACCGGGAAAATGTGTAAGTGCCAGAAGATGTCAGTGGGCGTTGTGCTCCAAAGGAATAAGAGCGCGAGATGCGAGTTTCTCGCATCCGGATGCGGCAATAATTATGATAAGCCAACTTGGGCGGCTAAGCACCGTAAAATACTTGAGCTTAGCGTTTATAATCGACTTGAGGCCTTCAGGCTCGAAGAGTAATTGCATGTTGGGCTGGGAAGTGCATATAGTCACACGATTCCCGATGCCCAAGTCAGCGGATGGCCAAGAGGCATGGAAGGGAACGGCGAGATTTATGAGAAACTGTCCCAGCAGTGGCCTTTGATATATCTCATCTTGGCAAGGAATCCTGGGGAAGGAAGCGGAATAACATATTTACAATGCCAGGGGCCGACTGGCTTTGTGCTTTCTGCAAAATGACATTTTCTGTGTGATTTGTTTTAATGGAAATGAAAACGTGAATGTAAATGTAAATGTAAATGAAAATGAAAACGGCTTGAATGCGTTTCCTTGGCAGGCCTCAGACAGCCCCTGCCGCCCATTTGCAGCCGTTCAGCCATTTCAGCCACACCCACAACATTTGTTGTTCGTTTATTACTGCTGCCAACAATGGCAGTGGCAAAAACGACAAAAATAACAACAGCCGTGCAACAGTCGAGGAGGAACTTGGCTCGAACAAGGAGCATCGAGCTGCGAGCTGCGAGCTGCGAGCCCCGACACTTTGGCACGGAAATGTTCCAGGCGGCTTCCTCTGACACTTTTCAAAACTATTGATGTTGTCATTGGCCATATGCCTATAGATATCTGGAGGAGGGAGCGGGGGCTTGTTCATTTGGCAGCCATTGTGCGCGGCGACTTTGATTTGGAAAGTTTTCACCAGCTCGCATTGAAAAGCCACGTTACGCATACGCCATGGCTGCCACCTGATTGATAGGCCACGATACGTGGCGAAATGAACAGGCCACAATGAGCTGTCCGTGATTGATTCGCATTCAATGGATGTGAAGTTATTGTGCGCCGAGCCATTGTCGCTGGTCAGAGCGGTTTCATACACATCAGGCCACAAAAGGGTCAAATTCCAGAAAACGAATTTACGTATCTTTCTGCAGAAACCCTATTAATATTTGATTTTAGGGCTGTTATCAACGCGCAACCACTATGTAATCTTAACTGCTATTAGCTCGTAATTAAACGTTATCTACGTAAAATAACACACATCACCCAATTCAGTCTTTCACCCACCGAACTAAAATAGCACGTCTTGTTGAGTAGAATAGCTTTCCTGGAAAAACATTTCCCATTCTTATGTTCCAAACCACAGCGCATTCTCCGTGCAGCAAATGGCCTGAATACACATACAATTTTCAGCTAAACCAGTTAGCTTGTAGTGGGCTTGAATTACAAGAAAACAAAGCGAACGGCTGATTGCATTTGGCTTTAAAAATACCATTGCCTACTTTCAGGTCGAATGACTACATATATGCGTTTCAGGATGCAAATAGCATCAATTAACGAGTCGATTGAATCACCACGAATCATCACTAACTGAAATGTGCACGTTGACGGTTCAATTGACCTTTGTGGAGCTCAAAAAGTGCGTAATTTCCGCCGATTGTGCTCTGCCCTCGTTTTAAGCTATTTATGGCTATAACTCCAAAGGATGCCCAATTAAATGCAGCGTTAAACAATAAATCAATCAAAATCCGTCTGTTTATCTCATTGAAAACACGCACACACGTATAAATCAATTGCAAAACAAGCTAACAAACTGGTGAGATGGGCAAAACCAATGGGGCGCCATAAATTGAGCCGACGTATCGTACTGACAACAACAAGCTCAGCAACAAATGGAGAGGGCAGAACATTTCCAATAAGTGAAAAAACAAATCGCTCGTGTGACTCGGTACTTCTCGGTTATCCCCATGGTGGGGGCTTCTCCTCAGAGACCCAAGTAGTTGGAGCGCTATTTCTCGGCTACGTGATTTTGACTTGGCCACGTCAGATTACGGACTTGTGGGGCGGAACTACACCGATAAAAACTGCTCCGATATGATGCTCACATCTAACAAATTCCGGATGTCCGAATTCAGAGATACTGTTTCAATGTAAACTATACATCTTCCTTTGACTGGAAAAACAAACGTATTGGATTTTTCGGTGAATGTAGTTATTGGTTATCAGCTGCCATTGCCGGCTGTCCGCTTGTGTTACATTCAAATTTATCAGGCGACCGCTCCTTCGGCAAGTAATCGAATTGAGCTCCTTGTTGCCGTGCCTCGCTTTTTGGCTGCCATAAAAAAGGATTTATGGATTTATTATCAAATGCGTCGGGCGCAAAACACAAGTAACCATATACCATACACAATATACACACACATCCTCATGGCTGAGCAACCTGCGACCCGCGAGGATTTGTTTTGCCATTTATTAGGCTATTTTTATGACACTGCCACGAGCTGGTGGAACGATGGGTTAGCACAGTGAGCACACCAAGTAACCGCTAATCAAATCACACTTCACTTTTCAGCCATGGGAATTGTGCTGTGCCTTGTAGGCCGCCAGTCTGGAACAGGCCCATGGCCAGTTGCAGTTTTGGCAATTGTAAATCTCCCTGTTTATCACAGCCGAATGAATTATAACGCCAGTCAATTATTGGCGCACTGGATGATTGTGCTTCCCCCTTATCAGGTGCTTACAGGCGATCAGGTGACACAGTTCTTATGTGTAAGCTCCTGGCAACCGCTGATTCGTTGAAGAGTGAAGTATTGACTAACGACTTTAACTTGCTTATGACAGGGAAAAGCAGGGACTCTCGTATGTAATTAATTAGTGATTTATGTAACTTTCTTGCCTTTATGTATTGTGACCTCACCAGCTTTTGTGGATCCTTAAAACGTGTTTACCCGAAAGTATGCTACAAAATATGTGTTACACGGAAGTGCGATGGTTCTTAACACTGCAAACAACAGAGAGGCCTTCCTCGTTCTCGAAGTTTGTGCTTCATGCGCCCAAATTATCGTCCCCTTTTGCCGAGCTTCACTGTCCTCGAAAGTGTATATTTTTGATCAGCTCATCAACAGTCGGCTCTATTTTGCATTGGTTATTCTCGTTCTGGCTCGCTTTTTATGCGGGCTCTGTCAACGCGCACACACACTCGCTCACGCCTATTTAAACACACCCACTCGCCCACCCACACACACAGACACACACACACACGCACTTTGGGAGAGGAGAGGCTGCGGAAGCAAAGGATGGGCAGGCCAACTAGCTTGCATACTTTCGAGCGCCCTGTCTTTCAGTGCGCCCATTTCTCCTTTCTTTTCTGCTTTCTGCTGGCTTATGTTAATTTCGCGCGAGTTTAATTGCTTGCCACATGGCTGCTGATGCCAAGCGGATGCCCTTAGCTGTTGACTGCTTTCTGTTGCCTGTGTCCTGTTCTCTGTTCTCTGTTGCCTGTTCCGAGCTGCCTGCTTTTCAGCGTTTCCTTGGACAGAAATGCGAGCTGCTTTGCCTGGCTTGTTTGCGGAAATTAAATTGCTGGACTGGCTTTCACCTTATGCTCCGGCTGTCCGCTAAGCATATTGCCAAGCGAAATGCGCCCACACATGGAGAAAAACAGTTTGGCCCATTCTTCTTAATCACATTATTTCACTTCCACTTCATAGATTAGTTATAATAAGCGATACCAATAAAAAAAAACGCTTGACTTCACCTTTGAACTCTTTGAGCAAGTTAACAATGTTAGTTTGTATAGCTTCGAAGACTTGAATGTTGAAAAGACATTTCAAACCAGCTTTTCCCACGAAATATAACCAACGCCCGTGCTGTTTCCAACGTTTCTCGCTGTGTAGACTCGGGTGAGGTTGTGCGAACTGCTGGGTTGTAGGTCGAGCGGGTGGTGGCGCTACAGGGCGCGGGGAGAGGGGTGCTTGAGCCGCGCCCCACCGACCTACTCGCACAAAGTTTAATCAAAACGAGAGCACTGGAAACGGAGAAAGCAGCGCTGCCGACGCCGCGGTCGACGGCGACGCCAACGCACACACACACACACTCTGGGGAACTGAACTCTCACTTACTTTCTCGCTCCCTCTCTCGCTTTCGGGGCTCTCTCGTGGCGCTCGCGTGCCCTCTTGCTCTAACCTATTGCTTATTTGAGTAGGTTCCGTTGTAACGGTGACATCGCTGTTGTTGCTGCTGCTGTTGTTGCTGGCTTTGTTTTTGTTTTTGTTTTCGGGCTTAGAGATGCTGCCTCTGCTGGCGTCGCAGCCTCGGCGTTGGTGTTGGTGTTGCTTTTGCTGCTTCTGTTGATTTTGGCCATTTGCCGCTCCCAAAAGTATGCTTTGTAATTTTTTGTATTGTGCGCGCACATCTTCGCTTCTGCTTTCTAGTATCGTATCCTGCCGCTCCTGGCTGCCCCGCCCCCAGCGCCTCCGCCTCCTGCTCTTTGGATCCTGCTCAATTCATTTCGCCTTTCGCCAATTTTATTATACACAATGCGAACTGCGACGCCGACGTCGGCGACTTTGCGTGCTTAAAGTTAGCACATTTAACATTGCAACTGGGTTTGTTTTACTCGCTATGCGCACACAGCACAACTCTAATGACTTGCTTTAACTTAAGTATTTAATTATTGCTCGTTGTAAAAATTCCCCCGACACCGCTGACAGCTCTGCACGCGTTTGTTTTTCACTCGGTTATTGTTGCTACTTTTCAGCGCGAAACTAGAGAGGCTGTAGCGCACGTTGCCAAATCTCATCCGGGACTGAAGCTGAAAATTCTGGCCAAGGTATATAACGGTACAGAGCCGAGGAGAGGAGAGAGCCAGAGCCAGAGCCAGAGCCGAGCCGAGCAGCAGCCGAGAGAGCGTGGTGGAGAAGGAGAGAGTGGGCGACGCGAGTTCTTTATGCTGGAATTTGTGTTTGTTGGGCAGCATGGCGAGCATCCTTTTACCAACACCCTCGCACAAAGGACATACGGAAAAACGGGCTGCGACTGTGTGCGTGCAGCCGAAAATGTGCTGGCAGCGGAACTTAATGGATGAATATGAATGAAACGCCGCAACAGTCCAACTGCGCGACTTAGGGCCGAGGGGTAGGTGGCAGGGGCAGGGCGATCTAGTGGCTGGGGGGACAGGGGATAGAGGCGCCCAGTGGGTGGCAGGGGAATTCCAGGTGGCGAAGACAAGTCCGCACGAGGCCCACGGGCATGGCTCGAGTGCCATCTTGTGTAGCAGCAGCATCTACGACTGCCACATCTGCAGCAGCAGCAGCAGCAACAGCAGCAACACTGGCCACTTTTCAATGGGACTCCTGGCGAACGAGTGTAAACGTAACGCATTCGTGTGAGTGCCGCTGCGAGGGTGTTCGTGTGAAGTGGAAGCGCTGGAAAAGCGCATTCACATTTCAATTAAATAACACCAGCGGCGTACGGTCACAATTGCCAGTTCAATGGGCATTCCGAGCCTGTGAGGAAAATAACCACTTGGGCTTTGGGTGAATTTCGACTGGAGGGTTCTATTCTCAGAGCGTTGAGAAAGGTAAGCACAGCTGGGGTGTTGAATGCTCAAAATGAAATGAAGGACCGCAAATACTTAAGACCTTTCCTTTGTATTAGAGATATTACTAAGTTTACTCTGCTAGTGCAATCGAGAAATTTAAACATTTTCTGGAATATCGGTAGAAATTGGGGAAAAAATTATAAAATGAAACAAAAACATTAAAATAAAAAAATGTACTAAATTTGAATGCAGATTTTTAGAGAATTCCACCAGAAACATTTAGAGGTATGCCACTTCAAAATCCGATAAAGATAAGTTGAGTTATGGAGTATAGAACTTCAGCCTTGGGGCATTTTTTAATTATTTTGAATTCTACAACAAAAAAATGACAAAAAAATTGAAAAAAATTAAATTTATAAATTTGAATGCAGATGTTTACAGAATTGCTCCAGAAACATTTTGAGGTATGCCACTTCAAAATCCGATTAAGATAAGTTGAGTTATGGAGTATAGAACTTCAGCCTTGGAGCATTTTTTAATTATTTTGAATTCTACAACATCATAGCAACAAAAAAATTACAAAAAAATTGAAAAAAATTAAATTTATGAATTTGAATGCAAATTTGTAGAGAATTCCGCCAGAAACATTTAGAGGTATGCCACTTCAAAATCCGATTAAGATAAGTTGAGTTATGGAGTATAGAACTTCAGCCTTGGGGCATTTTTTAATTACTTTGAATTCTACAACATCGTAACAACAAAAAAATGACAAAAAAATTGAAAAAAAATAAATTTTTAAATTTGAATGCAGATTTTTAGAGAATTCCACCAGAAACATTTAGAGGTATGCCACTTCAAAATCCGATAAAGATAAGTTGAGTTATGGAGTATAGAACTTCAGCCTTGGGGCATTTTTTAATTATTTTGAATTCTACAACAAAAAAATGACAAAAAAATTGAAAAAAAATAAATTTTTAAATTTGAATGCAGATTTTCAGAGAATTCCACCAGAAACATTTAGAGGTATGCCACTTCAAAATCCGATAAAGATAAGTTGAGTTATGGAGTATAGAACTTCAGCCTTGGGGCATTTTTTAATTATTTTGAATTCTACAACAAAAAAATGACAAAAAAATTGAAAAAAATTAAATTTATAAATTTGAATGCAGATGTTTACAGAATTGCTCCAGAAACATTTAGAGGTATGCCACTTCAAAATCCGATTAAGATAAGTTGAGTTATGGACTTTAGAACTTCAGTCTTTGGACATTTTTGAATTTCTACATCACCACACCAGAAAAATTAAAAAAAAATTTTGAAAAAAAAAAATTTCTAAATTTGAATGCAGATTTTTAGAGAATTCCGCCAGAAACATTTAGAGGTATGCCACTTCAAAATCCGATTAAGATAAGTTGAGTTATGGAGTATAGAACTTCAGCCTTGGGGCATTTTTAATTATTTTGAATTCTACAACATCATAACAACAAAAAAATGACAAAAAAATTGAAAAAAAAAATTTTTTTAAATTTGAATGCAGATTTTTAGAGAATTCCACCAGAAACATTTAGAGGTATGCCACTTCAAAATCCGATTAAGATAAGTTGAGTTATGGACTCTAGAACTTCAGTCTTTGGGCATTTTTGAATTTCTAGAACATCACACCACCAGAAAAATTAAAAAAAATTTTGAAAAAAAAATTTTTTTAATTTGAATGCAGATTTTTAGAGAATTGCTCCAGAAACATTTTGAGGTATGCCACTTCAAAATCCGATTATGATAAGTTGAGTTATGGAGTATAGAACTTCAGCCTTGGGGCATTTTTTAATTATTTTGAATTCTACAACATATTAACATATCAACATCAAAAAAATTAAAAATAATATGAATTTATAAATTGAGTTGCTTTATTAATAGCAACTCATGTTGCGTTTAAACTGGACAACAATGGAACTAACGCAGCGGACATGGCACTGGCGCTGGCACTTGCACTCCCCCAGCGACCCACACCCAGCGCACGAGCACCTCGGAGGAGGCGGCCACCAGCCACCCGAATCCTGGCAACCGACAAGCCCGCACTTTCCCTTGGGCTTGGCATGTGCGAGGTCTGCGACTGCGGATACTTTCTGTGTGCTCGTCATGCCACCACGTGTGATATAAAAATACATAAATGGACAATGCAAAAGGAAAGATGAGTAAGAGCTCTGTGCCGCTTGAAAGAGGAGGATGCGGTAGGGGGATGGGGGAGGGTCAGGGATTAGGGGCGAATTGATTGAGCGAGTGGACCGTGGGTGTGGTCCTCAGAAAACACCGTTCCAATACCTGCTGCAATAAATGGCCCAAGGCGGCTTTAGCAGTGGCTAATGTCCAGTGCATCCACATGCTGGAATTTTGTAATGACACCACGCTCTCGAAGGTCGGAAAATTCTTTGCAGTGCCACCACGTTGCCCATACGCACTGTTGACCATGTAATCGAAGGGAACAGCATGCCTTCGCCCAGCTAGATAAATGCCAGGCCCAAGGGACGGATGCCGTTGGAATGCTGGCAGGAGTTTGGCCATTTTTGATACTGACATATTTTCCAACGCCCAAGCACAATTTCACTTTAGCTTCCAGTCAAGTTGAGTTACTGCAGTAGAGCCGCTGAAGTTTCGTCGGCAAAGTTTTGCTTTTAATCTTGCTAAATTGAATTTATCTAGGGGCACGTAAAGCAATGAGGAAAATAAGTCGCGTGTAATTGGCAAAGGACGCCCTACAAGCCCAATAAGAGATCGTTTTTTGTCTTTTTTCTTTCTTTTAATATTTTTTTGTTGAATATTGTTTTTGTTTATTTTAAATATATATATTTATATAAAATATATAAGCATAAACTTGTACAAATATAAATATCTTTTACTGTTACCCGACGGCCCCTCATTATCGATCTGCATATCTACGTCCGTCTGCAGCTCGAAACTCGAGCGCTCACACAATTTGTTTCATGGAATCCCAACATCTCACATATTTCTTCTGTTGCTACACATTAACTGATAACTTTGCTAAACTTTCCGTGGATGTGTCTCTGTCTCTAGTGTGTGTGTGTGTGTGGTTGTGTGTGTTAAGTTGCATAGCTAAGATACAAGTATTATAGATATATTTACAATAGCGATAAGGTCAACAAAAATATTTGTTTGGAGTACTGTTTGTCCTTTTGTCTGCGGGAGTGTGAGTGGTGTGTTAAACGTAGGTAAATTTAAGTAAATTTAATTCTGCCTCGACGGTTCTCGCATACATAACGTATATGTACATATACATGTGGTATGTATACTCGAAGATATGTTATATGGTATATGGTATATGGTATTATAACGCGTTGGATTTTCGACAGATCGATAGACATATACAATAATAATAATAGAACAATAGGCTAACGTACACTGAAAGATAATAAAATTAAACTTATGCAATACATTTTACGACACAAAAACTAAGCTTGACCCGACGCGCTGCTTGGCACGACTCACATACATACATGACCATCTAAAACATATATACTCTCTCTTATATATATATATAAGCAAGGCAGAGGCGCTCAATCTCTGGCGGAAGCCTTAATGGATGGCTGACAATTGTTTTGTTACGTTCTGCATAGCTGTCATAGCTGCTGCCGCTGCAGTTCCTTTGTTCGCCGGTTCGACAGGCTGGTTGGTTCCCGTCCCCGAGCACGGTGATTCCTTGGCCTCAGCCCTCGGAATACGAGCTGAGGCTGCTGCGCGTCGAGCCGGTGAAGTGATCTCGTTGCAGCGTGTCCGAGGGCATGGACACAATCAGGGCGCCGCCGTACAGGGTCTCCATCTCGTCCAGCTGCTGGGCGAAGGTTTCCTCCAGGCGCTGGTGCAAGACATGAGAGTATCATTAGTATTTCACAGAGCAGCGATGCACTTTACTGGGCAACAACATTCATTCTCAATCTATACATCATCAAGTTAGAGAGTAGAAAGGGGCGGGGGAAGTTAGCTGAATAGCGCATGCATTAGTAGGACACTTACAGCTGAATAACTATACATAGAATACACAGTGCCTTCCGGAACCATCAGATACGCGAGCTCCAGTTGCAGGGCCCTGAGCCATATCGAATAGTTGGGAAGCACACTGGGGATAGATCAAAGGACTAACCTCTTGTTGCAGCCGTTGCTGTAGTTGCTTTACACATTACGAGAAGAGGAGGGCCGGCAAGAAAAGTTTTTGGATACAGATTTTTGATTCGGTTTGGTTTTTGTTTGTTTTCGA